TCCTGCTGTCTTATTCGCAAGCCTCAGTCTACACCTAAATGTTTTTCAGAGAGGAGCAGCAATTTGTCAGTGTTCCTTGCGGTCGGGAAGGACTGTATTGTATTGAGCAAAATACCCCAGTCATTTACAAGCCAAAACCTCCTGAATTCCTTTGCTGGCTTTAAGAAACTCAGCCTGTCCTTGCGCCTGAGCATGCAGTTACAAAATGCTTCTGCTGTGAGGAAACGCTGGTTTCGGAGGCCCCTGCTGTCTCTTGCCCCGAACTGCAGTCCCTCGCTGCCCCTGTGAAATAATTTGAGTTTAACCATACAAAAAGAAATCATTTCAGTGATCCCGATTGCAACATGGGCACCAAGCAGTGCGACAGAGGGGCAGCAAGCTGTGGCTGAGAGCACACAACAGAGGATTTTAGGTAATTTTGCCACCAAAGCCAATATATCGTGTAGCTACCCCCTTGCTTCTCTGCCTGGGGAAACTCCGCCACAGTAGCTACTCTCCTGATTAGCTGTCCTCTCAGGTGTTACGTATGCGTAGGTACTGCCTGCGCGGGCATCAGCAATGTTTGAACTTGTATCTTGGAGGCTCACGCTAGAAGAAGGGTCAAGGACACGGTGACCGTAAAGGAGCGTGGAATGGGAGCTCTGCCTTGCAAGGTGCGATACCGGGAGACAGGGTGTCACAGAAGCAGTTAATTGTTAATGTCATCTCCTCGTTCGCTTTTTGTCTTTTAGTGTGGAAACAGTAAATGATGGGCAGTTTCATAGTGTGGAGCTCGTGATGCTGAATCAAACGCTGAACCTGGTGGTGGACAAGGGGACTCCCAAGAGTCTAGGAAAACTCCAGAAACAGTCTTCTGTCAGCCTCAACACGCCCCTCTACATTGGAGGTACAGTGAGTTGCTCTGGACTTTGAGGTTTTAACAAGTCTTCTCCATCTTCCGGATGGAAGATCTTCCTGGGGGGAAGAACTAGCCATTTGCCTTCTCCCTCTGCCAGAGGTTGCTGCCCTGAACAGAACCTGGAAACCACAGCTCTGCTGTTCTGCTTCATACCCCGTAGCCCACCAGCACCCCGCCGCGCGGCCGGCACAAGCTCGCACCCCAGTTTCTGTGTTAGGCGGCAGTTTCTGTGTTATACGGCCGTGGCAGGAGCAATCAGTTTGTCATTTCTAAACCTTTCAGAACTGGCTGGCACCAGGATGTCGTAGTTGAAGAATACAACGGAAGCATCACAACCAGTCATGGCAAAAAAGCAAATCAATAGTCAGTAGGTTTAAATATACCATAAATGAGCTATATTTCTGCTGGAAATTGTATAGAGGTCTAAAACTTTTTTGGGAAAAAAAAGATTAAAAACTCCAAGCCATACTAACACACAAGATAACTAAGAACTTCTTGGCTAATAGTTTTCTCCTTGGAAACTGAAGCCAGAGCTTCAGTATTAGAAAGATATTCGAATTAACTGAACTTCAGTTAAGAAGTTTTTTCCCATTCCGTACTGAATTTTGGGGGAAGGAGGGGCCAAGTGGGGTGGGGACCAGATGCCCAGAATAATGAGGGTCCCACTGATGAGGTGTCTGGATGTGAGCGGCAGAATGGAGGCTGTGCTCTGCCCGATTGATTTGTTTGTGCCAGAACCACCCCCCAGCTCTGTTCTGGACTGAGTCTTGAAATCTCTCCTTTTTGGTGACACAGAGTTCTTGAATTTTTAGTCAGCCTATTCTAAATACAAGAGTCAGCAGAACAATAATAGACTCAGAAAGTCTTTGGGCTTTTTCTAACGAGATCATTGAAGCCAACAGTAGAAACTCTTACTAACTTCACTTGGTGCTGGTCAAGCCTTTTGTAAATAATTCCTTTTAATAACACTTTTCTAAAAGAACCCTGAATATTGCCCTTGTAAATCAGAAAACTGGCTAATCTTGCTCTGTACAGAGCTGAACTTTTGTAATTGGCTCCTATTAGGAATGTCACAGGCTATTAAAGAGCATTATGCATCAAAGATAATCTGCTGGTGAGGCCATCGCCATTTCTCCCTCCAGCACAGCATAAAAGACACCAACCCCACAGCAATTTATACACAGGGAGCTTGGGAAGCAATCGTGTGGAAAAGTTTTGTTAATGGATGAGCATTGTGGATCAATACTAATTCTCAAAAGGTACCTACAAAAATGCACTCACGGGACAAATCTGAGACCTGAAATGAAGGACTGTTGGATACCAGAAGCCATGGGCTCAGTGGAGGCTTTTTTTTATTGCCCATTAAAATTCTTCTTGCTCCTTTCTAAACCCTCACTGTTCCGCACGTGCCGCCTCCCCGCACGTAGCATTCCCACGGATGCCAGCTGCCCTTCCGCTGCAGACGTTCAGTTAAAGTAATGGATTCAATCACCCTGGAGCAATTGTTCCTAACCCACGCTAAGCTGTAAGACAGAGCTGAGCCTTCACGTGCCCACAATTTTGTCCCTCGGTCCAAGTATGTCACCTGGTCCAGCAGCTTTCCCCCTAATGCACAGTTAAACAAAGATGCTGGTTTTGTTTTAAGACCGTCTTTAACAGTGGAGTTACTTACGCATAGCAAATTCAGAGGCCTTATGCGGTTGAAAATGGAAGCGCTTGCCTACGCTAACGCAGCTGTACAGCTCGAGCGGGTGTCGGAGGGGAGGGCGTAACGCACCGTCCAAAAGAATCTGCTGGCCATCTGAGCGTCTGAACTCTTCCACGCGCTTGAACGAGGTGGAGGGTGCTCGCCACAGAGACTTGGCCTGGCTCCCGAAGCGCAGTTCCCTGCCTCTGGAGTTCCCTGCACCAGTGTGGATGGGGTGCGCTCCTACCGCTCCCTGTCTTAACGCTGCGAGCGAGCAGTGCCTGTCGTGCTGCAGCCCAGAGGTGGTAGCTACCTGCTGGCGAGTAAAGACATTCTTAAACCTTTCAGAAGGGTAATTGCTATTGAACTATCGACAGAAGGAGCGTTATCTAAGGACAAAAACACGTGGCCATCAGCCAAAAAAACTGAGCTTTTTTTTGCTTTTTTTTTGTCAGACACTTCTTACATAAGCTTGGGCAAGTGATTTTATTTTTGTTTCTATCCATTTCCAGAATGAGGACAATGAGGCTGTGCTACCTTACAGCGGTCCCATACAAATTAATTCTTTAAAGATTATAAGGGGCTGTGACAAAAGAAACATTAGTAATTATAATTTATGTGCTATCATTGCAACTGTGAGTAAACCTTCCCTTTTTGTTTTTATCTGAAGGGATCCCGACCTCTACTGGATTATCTTCACTGCGCCAGGGTGCAGATAAGACACCAAATGGTTTTCATGGATGCATTCACGATGTCCGCATCAATAACGAGCTGCAGGATTTCAAGGATTTACCCCAGCAGTCACTAGGAGTCCTTCCTGGCTGCAAATCCTGTAACATCTGCAAGCACGGTATTTGCCGGTCCCTAGAGAAAACAAGCGTGATCTGTGAATGTCACCCAGGCTGGACGGGCCCCCTGTGTGACCAGGAAATTGGAGACCCATGTCTTAACCACAAGTAAGCTCGACTGAATCCTGATGGGAGGGCAGAAGCTTTACAGCTAACACATATTTCACATTTCATCTTGTAAAACCACATCTGACTAGTTTTTGGAGGTGCTGGGTTCCCACACGAAATCATTGACAGTTGTGAGTCAGCATCCACGGCAACTCTCAGTGTCCACGTCTTGTTCTGATGTTGCTCACTCTCCAAACGAGCTCTTTGTCCTGGAGGAGCTCAGGTGTTAACACTGCAGGTCATACTTTCAGCTGTGACTCTACACATTAAAATATGAAAGCTCCTGTTAATGGCTATGGCTTACCTCTGAGGTGGCGAGAGCCAGCGCTTATCCAGAGCAGAGCTGCCTGTGAGCGGGAGGTACACGTTTCAGGGGTACGCTCACAGCAGCCTTGGACCCAGTACTCAGACTTAACTCCCTGAAGACCATTATGCATTCCAACGTGAACAGTTTTAAATTTCCCAAATAGCTGACTTAAATATTACACTCTGAAACACCCCTTTAAAGTGCAAGTTTAAAGGATAGCATGGAGTTGCATGTGAGGGGAGCACGAGTGTAAAGCATTCACAGTTCAAAGGCTCAATAACGGCATCTCCATCAGAAACACGGGGTGAATAGCTTGCTTATGGCGAGTACGCAGGGAAGGAGTCCAACGCAACCCAGCAGCCTGCATAGTTCAGGGCTGTCTCATAAGCAGATGGAAGTACTTTGGTTTTGAAGCTACTTTGGTTGCGCTATCTGCGGAAGGGGCTTTTCACAAGCACATACTTTAGACAGGTAAATTGACACAGAGAATAATCACTCTCTTAAGGGCAGAAACAACTTGGCAGAGGTACCGTTTTAAACTTGCTTCTGGGTCTCATTCTGCAAAGTACGGAACCCTGGAAAGCGTTGAGAAGCACCTGACAGTTTACAGACCAAAGGTACCAAGACCCAAGCAAAGAAACACTCAGAGGCCCAAATGTTTCCTTGAATTTCCAATGTCAGCGTGAAGCTGTTGTGGTTGGACAGAGAAAAATAAGGGAGTTCCAGATGTTTATGTGACGAGGGATTGTTTCTCTCATAACCTAAGGAGGGTGGTGCAGTCAGGAACGTAGCCCCCTTGCTAGGGAAAGTAGCTGTGCGTATTTGTAATGCTCGCATACTGTCCCACCTTTCATTAAATCACTTCAGCCTTTTGGAGCTGTCTCCTTCAAGCCGAGCCCTCTGTGTCCCGGGAGCACGGTGCCCTGCCGGCGGGTGGCTGCTCCAGCACTCCCCGGTTACCTCGGGGAGGAAATGCAGCTGCAAAGAACAGGTAGTTGATGATAACAGGAATCACTATCCACGCACACCTTTGGTTAGCGGGGCAGAAAATGCTGGTTTATATAGGCTGTGACTCCCTTTATTACAGTATTTTGCATGTCTTGACCTGACTGAAACTGCTTTTATTATTTGTGCTTTTTAGTTCAAAGCTTAAAAATGAAATGTACAAGGATTCGACAGAACAATTTTAAAGTACCAGAAAGAAAATAAACAAAAATAAGAGAAAGACATGGGTTTATGTCAAGCAGGACCTGACAGAGCAAAGGTTTCTAAGCCCTGAGCAGTTTTTCCTTGGCTGGACAGTGCTGCTTTCTTCCCTGTCCTCAGCCCATCCAAGTCTGTCCCTGTCCCAGAAGTGGGGCTGGTGTCAGAGAACCTGCTGAGGATCAGCACCCCTCCCTGTGCTATTCCTCAGCAATCCCAAAGCTCGCGGCAAACTGCACGAGCCAGGGAACCCTTCAACTACAGCTGCCTGTGACCAAGTCCGTGCACAGCTTTTCCACAAGCACCTTCATTTATCACCCTGTTTTCATCACCTGATACTATTTGTAGAGTAATTCTGCTAAGGAAGCCTGGGCACGCAGCTTGATTGCTGGCACTTAGTTCCCCGTGCTGATGCTGTAAACGTGAGCGCTCTTGTGCCGTTGCCAAGCGTCGGCCCGTGCTCACGGAGGAGCCTAATGTTTTTCGAAGAGATCAGTTAGGATCACAAATTCTAAATGTATTCTCTGAACATTATCCAGTATTCACTGAAAACTCACAGTTTCTTCAGGGCGTTTGACGCTGAACTGCTGTTTCTGGATTAGTATCCTGGCATTAAAGGGGCAGAAATGCCAAAACCAAACATCCCTGGGAAAAGGAACTTTCTCATCTAACGCAGGCCAGCTCTAAATGCTTCTCTTTCTCCAGGTGTCTGCATGGCAAGTGCATGGTGGCCAACGTTGCTTACACCTGTAAGTGCATGGAGGGCTACACAGGCATGTACTGCGACAAGAAGAACAATTCCTCAAATCCCTGCAGGCTTTTGAAGTGCAACTACGGGCAGTGTAAAATTTCCGAGCACGGGGAACCCTACTGCGAATGCGACCCTAACTATAGCGGAGAACATTGCGACAGAGGTACGCTGGGCCGCCACTCTGCTGCAGTTCTGGTTTACACCGTTGTTTTTAACTCTCTTCCGTGTGACTCGTCTTTGGGGGTAAATGGCAAAGAGTAGAAAATAAAGCTAGGTCAGTCTCTGCAGAGCTGTATAGGGAGGAGAAAACAACCAGACAACAGCTAGCTGGCTACTACCCAAATGTATGGAACGGGGGACATCTGTAGCGAAGGGTTTTATTCTCTGCCTCCTGAATCCTCAAGGTTTGCCGCCCCCAGGATTCTGGTGGGGTGTTTAAGGGAGAGGTGGCTGTGAGGTTTACCCTCCGCAAACAGCGCTCGGCTAATTGCAGCGCTGGGAAAGGAGGTCTTGCCCTGCACACCGAGGGCTGTTAGAGATGACGCGAGCAGGAACCGGGAGGCAGGAGGTACTGCGCCAGTGAAGCGGCAGTGAAGATTCCCGGCTCGCTCCCTCTGGTGCAGCTGGGCGGCTTTCCTGGGGAATCCCACAGATCAGGCTGGACTTCCCGGCCAGGGCTGCGGCCCAGCTCTTCTGCCCTGACCCGAAAAGACTCACTGGAAACTCAGTGAGTTCTGCCTCCATCCCTTCTGCCTTTTTTCATTCCTGTACAGAAGGAAGGTGCTGGCTTGTATTATTTTTATTTAGGCCCTGCCTCTCCTGTGAATGAACCACAGACTTTCCAAATTAGGCACACATTCACAGCCTCACCAAAACGTATCTGGCTGCTGCAGTGACTGCAGAACAGCACAGACCTTTCCAGGTATCCCAGATTGCTGATGTCACGCAGCGCAGGCCGGCCTTTGATCCCGAGGAGCAGACGCAGTAAAACCAATTCATATTTGGCATTCATGAAAGCGCTTCCAGAAGTGCTGATCAAAGCCAGCAGGCTGCTTGGCCTCTGCCTTCTGCCGGATATTACACGTTTGTGTAACACAAGCTCTGTTTTGATGGCAGGTACAAAGCAGTAAAAGATTAAGGTCCTGCTCACGCCATCTGTTTGCCTTGAATATCATTACACGTACAGGGCTGTCTGCTGATGTTTGGGGAATATCTGGCAAAGTAGTTACCACATTTTTATTTTCCTTTACACCTCTGTTGTCTCACCAGAGAATCTCTGCCAAGGAGAGATAATTCGAGAAGTAGTCCGTAAGCAGCAGGGCTACACGTCGTGTGCCACTGCCTCCAAAGTACCGCGCCTGGAATGCCGCGGCAGCTGCGGCAGCGGGCAGTGCTGCGTTCCGCTCCGGAGCAAAAGGCGGAAATACTTCTTCCAGTGCGTGGACGGCTCCACCTTCACGGAAGAACTGGAGAGACATGTGGAATGCGGCTGCTCAAAGTGCTTATAAGCCATTCTCCAGTCCCTTGCCACTTTAACCGACTCAGAAGCGCTATCAAAATGGGACCTATTTACTTTCAGAGTGAAGAAGAAGAAAAGAATTATTAAGTATATTGTAAAATAAACAAAAAATAGAACTTATTTTTATTATGGAAAGTGACTATTTTCATCTTTTATTATATAAAGTATCGCACCACTTTGGGTATATGTATCATATAGTGAGTTATTTTTACCATGAAACTTTTTTAACAGTTGTAAGAAAAAAAATTTCAAAAGTTAAAAGTTAAAAAAAATATAAAGAAAACATAGCCTAACAGGAGAAGTGTGGGGGTGACTTTATATGTATGCACAATGAACAAGCGTAAAGGTGTTCCAAGGACCTGCCACAGAACCGATCCGGGCTGAAGAAATCGCCGAGGCTCCGGGTGGGTCTCCTGAGCGCGGATCCCCACGACTGACAGCCATCTCGCCTGCTCAGGCACCCCGCGAAAGCCTCCCCCTCGGTCCCTTGCTCTGCCTAACACTGCCGACGCCGCTTTCTCCCTGTACAGTGGCTCCGCTTGCTGTCCTCGAACTGGTTCCCCATAGCACGTAGGCGCTGCCGTAGCTTGAGGCTAACTACATTATTTGACTATCGTAATACTAGAATACATTTTTTGCTGTGTACGTTGTATTTATCTGTGTTCACATTATATTCTGCAGCGACTGTATCTATAGAGCACAGGCAGCTTTTTCCAAAAGAAGGGGACGAAGGGAAAGGAAGTGGGGAAATATATGTTGCTTTGGGAAATTTGGGGCAAAATGTGAAATAAGTGCTAAGTAACGCCTAATAAATGACACAGTACTTTTGTGTAAACTCCTCAGCTATGTTATTTCCCAAGTTTGTGCCTTCTTGCTCCCAGCCCTGAGCCTTTTTTTGTATATGAAATATAAGGAATGCACTGCTACATAGTTTGTCACGCCTTGACACTTTAACTTGCAAAGGTTGTAAAGAGCATGAAAATATTGCAGGTGCCAGCGCGTACCTGCAACCTAATGGCTTTTGCTCCCGCCGTCACCTGAGCCAGGGGTGTAAGCTGGGCTGTAGCTGCCTGTTCATCCGCACTCTGGCACCGAGCAGCTGGCCACTTTTCCAGCGCTTCTTAAACGAGCAGAAGTTGCACTACATCCCTGAGAAGGTATTTCGACGACATTTGCCCGCCTTAGCAGCGCTCTCTTCTCTGCACGAGGAGAGACGGCACAGCTCCACCCCGTCCGGTTCTCGCGTTTGGGGCAGATTGACCGATTCAGCCAAAGCTGCTCCATCCGCACGCTTCATATCCCGCACGGGTGTCTCCCGAAGGACTCCCATTAACTTCAGCTGCGTCCAGAGCAAATGCAGAATAGGAGATGGAAATCAACGCAGGGATAAACGCTCACCGTGAGTGTGAGGCAAAAACTGACTCTGGGGGCGAGCTGGGGTTTTGGCAGGGCTACCTTCAGGGTCAGTACGTATGCGCAAAGGGCACCGTGGATACCTTGAAGCTTCTCTTAACTCCAGGTTTCAAACATCCCCATCAGCAACTGTTCCATTAGCAGGGTAATTTCTTTCCTTCCCTAATATAGCAAGTATTACGGTCCTTTCTTCAAGTTCTCTTGCTCTGAGAGGTGAAGTCAGAGATGATTCCTAGCAGCCCTAAGCTCCTTTTGGGAACGCTCACTGGTTTCACCAAAAAGATTTCAGATCAGGGGCTTCAGCAAAGGATGGGCAGGAAAGTTGGATCAAGTGAACGGGGCTTTCGTTTGACTGGGGCTTTGGAAAGCTGCACAGAACGCAGCCCTGCCCTGACAAGTATCAATGTTTATTTCCCCTTAAAGAAAAGCGACCATCGTGTAAGCGACCCTTAAAGAAAAGCTATCGTGCAACCAGAAAGCTCTAACGTGCTTAGCGTTCTTCTGCTACGTCAGCCTCTCCTTCACTGCAGCAGCTCATTCGTATTTCTTTGTTACTACCAGAGTGACTCGAGCAGAAGGGACGTAACCAATATAACAGCCCTCTCACAAAATAAGTACCGGTATGTGGAGCCTGCGATCAGCGAAACGTAAACCAGTCACTCATGTGCCAAACGCTGATTGAAGCAGTACGGCTCAAGAGCCAGGGAAAAACTAACCCTGCTTGCAAGCGCTAGGGGCTGCTTTTTATTTTGAATAGAACGTCAGAAGCTCGCAGCAGCTGGAGTTTGTGGTGTGCAGCAAAAATCACCCAAACCCACAACCTACAGGTTTTAAAAATCCGTGCAAGTAACTGCAGACGCTTGCGCAAATACGTGCCTGGCACACCACTACCATTAATGTTTCGTTCCTGCTTAAAACGCTTTAATTTCTAAAGAAGCAGCTGCTATGGTGCCAGGCAGAAGAAATCAGTGGCGTACAGGCCCTCCATGTGCTCTTCTGCACGATTTGCAGCCGCTGACCTGCCAAAGCCTGCAGAAACACGGCCCCTCTCCAACGCCACCCAAACCTGCGTTCGCTTTGTCCCCCGAGCAGCAACGCGTACGAGAAAGAAGGTGACATTCGCCGGTGGCATCGCGCCTGCTGGAGGGTGCTTTAAAAGGCGCGACCTTGACCGGCGAGGCAAAAGCCATCAACGTGTTAACGCTTCACTCTGGGATCTGTTCAAGCAAAGTCTTGCAGCAAGGTGACCAGCAACAACTCGGCGAGGCTCGCCCTGTTCCTGGCCCCTTTCTGTCGTGGCACTTCCATGTTACGCGTTGGGATAAAGAACTCGGAATATCTATTTTGTAATCAAATCATGCAATTTTTGTATGCTTTTAGGCAGCACTTGCCCTTGGATAGTGATGCTTTATGTCAATGATTCTCTGACTTGCTGTAGAATTATTTTATGTTAAGAAGAAAACAAAAAGCATTCAGATGTGCCAAAAACGTGAGGTTAACTGAAGTGTAATTAGCTCTGCAAGTTCCTCTGTAACTGCCTAACGTTACAATAGATTTCAAGAACTGCGGGTACAATGCAGTAGTTTTTACCTCTATAAAGTTTTAATATAAAGTGAAGAAAGATGCTTACCCTTAAAACATGGCAATGCAGACTGGTGTGAACTGATGTATTTTATTAATAGATTCTCATTGTGATGTAAGTTTAAATAAATGGTTGGGTTATGGAAGGTTGTAACATACCTCGTGATGCAGATTATTTCTGTGCGTATCATTTGAGGCGCCGAGGCTGACCTTTCAGAGGACAGCAGGTAGCTCACAGAAGATGATGGGGGAACTACACGCATTCCTCTTGGACAAATCTAGTCAGAGAATGGCTGTAGTTAAACGTAGCATGAACAGCGGTTACGTATTTTTATGGCATCACGACCTAATCTTGTAGGAGTCTTACACGCACAGATGAATTAAACCACATAGTTTTTGAGCCTGGGCATTTTCTTTGATGAAATGCTTTATTTGCTGCGGTTTTTTTATCTGTTTGAGAAAGGCCTGCAGCAAAAATACAGTCATTAATGCTAGGATAAACGAAGAAATACTGGGAACTGGGGTCAGAGGAGGTCTGGCTGAGGAAAGGGAAGCCACACAGCCAACAGCGGATGAGCGCGATCTCGCGATGCCCCGACACGCGTATATTCCAAGTTTGCTGCCGCAGCTCCCCCCCCAGCCGTAACAGACCTCTTCACGGCGTTCATTGCGTCCCAGCCCCAGCACAGAATAAAGGGAAACTCCCACCTCGCCCGTGCCCCTGCGCAAGGCTCACATTTTGCTAATTACGCTTCAAACTACGGCCCCTCGAGTTGCCTTTGCCATTCCGTGCAAAACTGGTGACAGCACTCAGCCAATAAAAGCACTCAACCTTAATGAGCATCATTAAGCCTGAACTATGAAGGTTAATTATATAATTGTAGCAGATGGTAGCATTTTCACCTAAAGCAAACCCAGCTGAGCCCACTAAAAAAGCTAGTGGGGACTGTTCAAAAATTTCTGGGCACCGGCTGAAGTAATCGGTTTGCACAACAGTTGTTTGCATCGCTCATGGCTTTGCAGCGCGCGGGTTCCTCGGCGAGCGGTCAGGCAACCGCAGGCCAAGGATAAAATGCTGGTTTGTGCTTCTGCTTGCAGTGCTCTAGGTATCGCTTTTTAGCCATTGGTCTGAGGCAAACAATGCCGAGAAACTCTCTATCCCGCGTTCCTCTATCGTCATTTTTTCCTAGTCGGCAGGGAACCGTTGGATGGTGTCGCTGTTTGCAGGGTGTTTGGCTGTGGGTTTTGCGTTGCTCCCTGGGGCTCCCGTCACTTCTGGTCTCTGTGACCTCTTTTACGAGTTACCTCCCGATTCCCACTCCGGCTTACGCGGGGCAGGCTCACAGTTCAGTGGGCCGGACAGGCGGAACGGGCTTCCTTTTGCCAAGCCCAAGGTGCTCTGGAGCCGTCCCCTCGGCTGAAGGCCCCGCGAAACGTCAGACCGGATCAGCGGGTGGCAGGGCCAGCACCGCTCGGCGTGGGCGCCGTGCCCCAGGCCGTGCCCGCAGCCTCCGAGGAGCACGGCAAAGGCGGGGCCGCAGGCGGGCGCGGCCGGCTCCAAGGCGCCGGGGCGCGGGCAAACGCCGCGACCG